ACTAACCTGAAGCAGCTAGAAGAAATAAAGAAAACATCACTTATGAAAAGCTATGATTGTTTGATGTTTTATGATGCTTCACATCAGGGTTCGAATTAAACCCGAACCACGCTGCATTTTTCGGCAGTCCTAGACAAATCTCTCATCGTGAACAGAACCGTGACAAAGAACGTTGAACGTGAGGGTCAGTTGCAAGTCTATGGCCGTCCAGTGTGACCGGCTCAGCGACAGCTTTTTGAGAACTCTCACAACCAAAGTCAGCCTCTAACAATCTTCAAGCACTGCTTACGTAAAAACCTATGAACCCTGTCTTCCTTTGGCCAATGAAAATACACCCAGGGAGTGACAGGAACAAGTGACGGGAGTATGACACAAGAATAGAATTAGAATTAAAAACATTATCAACCACTCCTTTTTAGAGTTTGGTTCGGAGTCTAATAAAAGAATTAATAACAGCAACACTTTTTTCTCCTTTCAGCATTGTTGTTTTGGTTAGCTTTCTACTTTTAGCGATATGTCACTAAACTGCTTTTCTTGTGGTGCACTTGTGACATTAGTGCATCTTGTTAGGGCACGATTTCGTGTGTGCCACCTTCCCGGTGCGACAGCGGAAGAATGCTATATTGAGTCCTGGCTTTACACGCAGGCTTCGAGGGGAAGCCCCTTCTTATGAGAATACCAGGGGGCATCTGTCCGACCGCTTCCATTAGGATTCCACAAGAGCGGGAGTTGGGTTGGGGACTCTCCCTGGGTGTTTCAGTTGAGGGCTTCTGCGAGGTGCCCATCACCCTTTTGGGGGAGCAAAGCTCCCCCTAGCTCCCCCGTAATTTGAACCATTCATGCGACATGAAAAAATTTGTTGGGCATAACAAACTACTAAATGTCAGCTATTTTAAGAGAGAATAATAAACAAAAGGTTTTATTCTTTGTTCATTTCACTGTAATATTTTACCAGAGTTTGAAGCTTTTTTCCCTCTACAGGATTTATGAACCACGTTAGCTGAAGGTCCACATTGTTTCTAGACAGATAGTGTTAAAGATCGGGGTTTTTAGAATATTATTTCATTCTTTTTTTTACACCATTGATCTATACTAGTTTAATTTCCTAAATCTTTTACTATTTCCTGTTTTTATTTTTTTTAAGTTTTAGATCTTGCTTTTGAATCTCGACAAAACCATATTAAATGGAATAATTCATGCTACATAAGTAAAATAATGCAAATACATATATTTATTGCAATAACATCAGAATTTAAACTTTGATGATATGAAATCAGCCGAGTCCTGCATTCCCTGTACATAGAAACATGCATGCATGCCCCCCCCCCCCCCCCCCCCCCCCTTCTCCCAGGATTAGGAACCTGTTGTATCCAGTCTTCTGCCCTCTAGTGGAAGCTTGTCTTGCCAAATGTATTTATTTATGTATGACTATTTTATTGTTACATAAAGAAGCTGTTTAATGTAAAAACACCAGTTCTGTCAATAGTTGGATCAAATGATGTGTTAAAGTCACCTCCTGATTTCCATAAAGACATTTCAGAGTTCATTAGTTATTCTTCCCTGGAAAAGGGAAGTTTTATATGTGCCATTCATTATTAGCCACTCCCACTCTAAGAATCCAACTTTTTTCATAATTACTCACAAGTGCAGAATATCCCCTTTTTACGTTAAGCAGCGGGGAACTTTACACCCATCTGGTTGGTGTCTTTAGGTTACATCTTTAAGCTGTAAGTCATTATTCTCTGAGGATCGTAACAAACCGTTAATCTCTCCATTGGGAGCTATTCTCTCAGGAATGGCCAGCTCACACAAAGGAACATTAAATTGTACAGTGTTTGTCCACTCAGCATTCTGCTTGCTGCACGACTGGAAAAGGACAGAAACTTTCCCAGAGTGCTTGATGCAGACTCCATATGCAACTGTTTCACTGAAACTGCTGCAAATCTGTTTCATTTTTTATACATCCCAGCAAGGACGTAATTTTCACTTTAGAAGTGGGGGGGACACGGGGGGGGGGGGGGGGGGGGGGGGATATCTTTACAGTATGTTCTAATGGGAAACCGGCTTCAACACAAACGGTTGTTTTCTGCTTGGTCCTAGAGCTCAACCAGTGTCAATTTAATATAGTGTAATATTGTTTTTGGATGGTAAAAAGTGCAGGGGTCAAAACTTGACTTTGGAAAAAGTGGGGGGGACATGTCCCCCCTGTCCCCCCCCCCCCCCCCCCCCCCCCCCCCCAAATTACGTCCATGCATGCCAGAGTTTAAACTCTGAACCATTGTCTTGATTTTTGCCGTTGTATCTTATTAGGTCTCCTTAAAAATGTTTTTTGTTTGTTTGTTTTTTAATGGGATTTCCTTGCAGTTGAACCGAGTAGCCCCTGGCTGCATCCCGGAGATCGGGGCGAGGCTAAATGTGGGCGGGGTTAAACGTTTAGAGGTGGGTGGAGACAACTATTTGACTCCTGTCCCTCTTCAATGGAACCGGTAAACCGCGAGTAGCCCCTTTCTAAGGATTAGAAAGCCCTAAAAACCCACAAAACCCATGTAAAGCATAACATTGGTAATCAAATGACTTGTTTGCTGGATGCCATAATTTTAAAGAGCAGATAATTACAGGTGCCATTTTTGATCCAATCTGTTGTGATATTTTTATTCTTTTTTCTACTTTTGTATGGTATGTGTATTTATAGCACATAGGTATTTGTGTCTTTTAGCTATACTTTTGGTACCTATATAAAAGGTTCAGGCATTTGATAGACTAATCTTTAAACCTGTCAAAACCATTTTAATAGTTGATTTTATCAATGCTGCCTTTATTTTAATAGTCATTTCCCAAGTGAGTGTAAAACAGTACAGACAGACACGGGTAAATTTGTTGTACACTCAGTTATATCAGCTACATTAAGAGGACCAGAGACTTAAATTGTGCTGATACTTCTTAAAACACGCCAGGGTTTGAGGCGGGGTGGTGAGACATTGTGTGAGACACCCAAGAATGCAGACTAAATTTTTCAAAAAAGGTAAATTTAATAGAGCAAACAGCCAACACTGGAATAAAAAAAAAGTACAAACAAATGAACCAAAAAGCACACAAAAAACAAGAGAACCTCCAAAAAAACAATGTGAGGAGGAAACAGAATGCAAAAACTGTGACACCGCTGTACTATGGCATTTCAAAACCAGAAAACACCTTCATCTTCCTTTTTTCCTCAATTTCTCTGCAGAACTCCTCATAGTCTGACTGAAAACTAAACATGAACAGGAATGGTTCCCTGCAATCGTTCATCTCCTCTTCATCCAGGCCATCACAGAAGCATAACCTCTCCACTGCCCTCCGGCAAGCTTCCCTGCATGGTGATGACCTGGGGAAGGGAAAGGCTTACTTTGAAGGACCTTGTGGTACACCACCTTGCTGCCTCAAAGGTGTCCTCAAGCAGAGAATTCTCCTAATCAAAAATAAAGACAATATTAAAATTACTGCTGTCAAGAGATTAAAAACATATTTTACATTAATTATGTATGATCTGTAAGAAATCTAATCTTTTAATTTAATCTAATAACTGTAATATAAGCCTTATTTTCAATGCTAACAGCTAGCCAAACAGCTGATGCTGTGGTCTTTCCAAACTGCAGCACGGATGTGCGTCTGATACAGGAGAGAAGCTGTCAGCAGCCTTGATACTCAGCGACACACCCATTACATCCAAATGGTAACAATAACTTTGGAAAAAGTTGCAAGAAGGGTGAAAAACACGGAGTAAAGATAACAAGGTCGCTGAAATAAACACTGCTGCAGCTAATCTCTCACCGGTCTTGTCACTGTAACGTCAACCCTTCAACTTATGAGTTTACATCAACCCTTCAAGAACACCAGCAAGGAGCGTAAAAGAAAAGAAATTGGTTTATTTAAAAGTCCCATAAAGAAGCAGTAGATTAAAACTGATTAACATAATTAAAATATATGACACGTAATCATGGCTGTAAAAAATTAATTGCAAGTAATGGAATTATTTGACACCTCTAATTAAAATAGAGGTTGGAGAAGAAACAATGACACAAGAAAAGCCGACAATATAAAACATACTCTGTTCCCTGTGTCCAGTTCCAGCAAGTTCTCAGCCTCTGCTAGAAAGGAAAAAGATTGTGCTTCATAAAAAGCATATTAACAGTGCAAGTTGTAAAAAAGATCAGTTGCTTAGTATTCTTAACATTTCTCCTCAAAAGTAAGTCGCCCCGCATGTGAAAATATGTATCATCTAAAACTCATAATGGGAAAAAAACCTTTAATTTCCAAGTTTATAAAACGTTCGCCCAACATTGGTCCTCGATATTGTTAAAACAGAGAAAGAAAAATCCTGGCTTACCTCCGGCTACAGCATTGCACACACACATGCATCAATAGCATAGCGGTTTCCTGGTTCCATTGAGAGAGGGACCAAGTTCTTGACACACCAGCTGACGTCTGCAGCCAGGTCCTATCTTGTTCACGACTTACCAGCTGGTGTCTGCAGCCAGGTCCTACTCAGAAGCACCAGGCAGGACGCAGGAGTCAAATAGTTGTCCCCGCCCACCTCGGGATGCAGTCAGGGGTAGTTGGTTGAACCCTGACTCAGGCCCCGCCCTGCATTTGTCGGCGGGGCGGGGCCTGTTTAGTCAGTATAAATTACTCGGCACGGACAGCGTTTATATTCAGATGAAGATCGACACCGTTCCACGAACAGCAGACTGCGTTTGTTTTACTTCACTCGGACGGAGCGGATTATCACCTGCTGCAGCATTTTTAAACAAATTATCACCTGCTCTGGATTTATTATCGTAAATTCTTTGGGGGTTTGTTGTTGTGTTTTAATTATTATTTGCATGGGCCCCTCCTGTTTTGTGGATCACGCTTCTGGAAATACTCTCATTTACATCACTAAAATCCAAGCTGTCATCGATTTAAAGTGGGAGTTTACGGTGATGTCCTGTCTCTGCCATGTATAGTCCATCCAGGTGAGTTGGATATCAGCTGAACCATGTCCATGTCGCACTGTGGCTGGAATAGAGTCCTGTTGCTGTTACGAACCGGCACCTCAGCTGTCACGCGCTGCGTGGAGACGCATTTAAATTCTAACCTTACGGGTAAATTCATTTACGCTGATATGTTTAAAAAAGATGTGAATTCAAAACACTTTTTGCGTTTATATCTGCTCATATGTGTTAGAATATAATTTAAAACTGACATGCGGCGTTCTCCGCTCTTCTCAGACTAGATTAACTAACGCAAACCAGAAGTTAGATTATATTTAATCTGGATTATAAAATCAGAATTGTCAGTTTTTATTTCCTGCTGGATCACCGGGATGAGAGCACGTTTTCCTGCGCTCCTCAGACACCCGCTCCTACCGAGCCGTGCGTAATAAGCTCCATTCTACCGATGCGTTTCTCTGGTAGCGAGTCAGAAAAGCTCACATCCATGTTTTATTTTTTAGACAACAGCAAACCTTCTAAATCCTCCCATTCCGTTTCCAAACAGCCCTAATGGTCGAGGTCGCTGAGTTCAGCTGCGCTTTTTTTGGTCATATTAAGACTTTATTAATTTAAAATAGTTTTTCTTGCGCACTTTAGTGTGATCTAGTCTCCCGATATTTATATGCAGATATCCGTCGGTGAAATGCTTTTTTTGTTTTCTTATTTTGAAACATTTAAAACTTTTGAGTGAAAAAGCGCACCCGTGTCCTGCAGGAGGCGCACACGCGCTGTTTGGTTTTACAACAAAGATACACCAACGATCCAGGGACATTTGTACTTCCGTGTACACCAGCTGCAAAACATGCTGACGCGTTGTCAATGTGTTTATGGGAAACGCGCAAACCTAAATGTGACCTTTTTTTTCTCTTTGGAGAACTCTGCGCTCACAGAAAGACAACAACACCCTCCTCTTCTGACGGAGCCGCTGGACGCATTTCCTCAAACACTGCGCCGTAATCGTGGCGCTGCGTATTTAGATCGCCGGCACCTTGTTGCTCTTTCCCTTTCCTTCCGCCTGCTTTCCTCATTCTTCTTTGGCACCGCTGTTACGAGCGCTTTCGTTTTGCTGCTGCGCCGCGCTGACAATAAGGGATGTAAGACAAATTTCTGGGATATATCATTTTAAGATGAAAAACACAAACAGGGAAAGTGGCTCTAAACGTCTTTTTGTTTTTGTTTTTAGCTCTGACCTCTTCACCTTTTGACCCAAACGTAGTTAATTAGATTTAGGGCTTCAGGTATGATAATCTCGTGAAATTATTATTATTAAATTAGCGCATTTAATCTGTCTGACGCAGCTATAGTTTCCCAAAGTCGCGCCTTTCATGTCCGACTTTATTCCCTCAAAACAGTAAACAAAGATTGATCTTAATCAGCAATTTCACACAGACAACAGAGACGCGCCGTGCGTCCGTTTGGACAGGAAAGCGGGTCAACGGCCAGTAGGCTGCGGAACACTGACTCCGTGCGCTTCGGGATGATTCCGCTACTTTTAGACAATAGTCTCAATAAAAATCCAACAGGTTATCAAAACAGTAGATAAGTCTGCATAAATGACGCAAAGTCTACTTCTGTGAAGTTGTAGAACTGCGGGACAAAGTCCGGTCTGTATTCAGATATGCGCTGCGCAAATGCAGCTTCAGATGCGGCAGAAATTAACTGAGTGATGAAAGACCAGGCTGACGGTGCCGCTCTGTTCCAACAGGCCACCAAACCTGTGCGATGGCTCGAAACCACTAAACGCAGCTGCACCGAGCGTTGGAGGAGACCCATCATCCACCGGCTGCGTTCCAGACTCAGAGCGAAACACGCACAGCAGAGAGCGGAGCTTTGCGCACCCGAGCAGTGCGGGAGAGGAGCCGGAGTCGCCGTCTTGGTCCCCAAATCCGGCCAGCTTAGACGTTTTCCGAAGGAGATCCATATTTCGCGCCAATCGACGCTCATCAAGCGGATATTTCTCCTTCGAGAGCATCTCCTTGCCGAACTCCCCGTTGTTCCCGAGCGCAGAGACGACCGACCAAGCCACACAGACTCCCAGCCTCACTGGACAGGTAATGAACCACGCCCTGCATCAGATGGCTGTGGGACACGGCGAGGGACCGGGGACGCACGCGCTGCACGGTGAGCACAGGCAGACTGGTTTAAAAACATCCAGACTGGTGCATGTCCCAAAGACCTCCAGCTAACGTAACAATCCCGTAAGAATAGAAATGCATGCAGCAGCTTAATATAAAAAGTAAATTCAAATATAAAAGCTACTTCTGCAGGAGCTACTTTCACCATCTTTTAAAACCTTTGCTGCTTCCAAAAGGGAAAAAAGTCAGACCTGCAACATGCTGAGAATTACTACTGATAAAAAAAAACTAATTATTTTTGTTTAAGATGACTAATATCTGGCTGCTCTGTGAAGGTTATTGACCTCCTGCTCTTCTGCTGCTGCAGATGTTTTCACTGGCTGCCTTGTCAGTGACATGAGGAGAATCCTGATGCAAATGTCAGCTGGAGCGTGAAGGAATAGAAACGTGTGTTCCTCCTCCTCCTTTCTTTTTTGTTCTATCTGCAGGGGATGACAGAGTTTCTGAAATATTTGCTCCTCTTTCTGATTATCAAGGCTTTTTCCTCACTGTTGAATCGACTAACACAATCACCGTTAGAAGGAAATCCAGCTCATGCAGGCATCAACGTGCACATGTGAAACACTACCAAGTGTTGGTTCTACTGGATCTAAGTGCTGCCTTTGATACAGTAGACCACACTATTCTTTTAACTCGTTTACAACAGATTGGCCTCTCTGGTGCTGTACATAGATGGTTCACATCCTACCTCACAGACAGGACTTTCATGGTGAGTTTGGATACCTGTTCCTCTAGGGTCCATGGGATTACATGTGGTGTGCCCCAGGATTCAATTTTAGGCCCAGTGCTTTTTAATCTTTATATGCTCCCTCTTGGCAGTGTCATCAGGAGACACGGGGTCAACTTTCACAGTTATGCTGATGATACACAGTTGTACATCTCCGTGTCTCCGGATGACTCTCGGTCAATGGATGCACTTTTTAACTGTATTTTAGACATCGAATCCTGGATGGCAGAGAACTTTCTCCAGCTCAACCAGGACAAAACTGAAGTTTTAGTCATTGGTCCTGAGGCCCAGAGAGAGAAGCTTTTACCGCAATTACAATCTCTGTCTTTTAATCCATCTGAACAAGTGAAGAACCTGGGTGTGATTTTTGACTCTGAGCTGATTTTTATCCCACACATTAAAAATATAACAAAAATAGGTTTTTATCATCTAAAGAACATCGCCAGAGTCCGCCCCATTCTCTCCCGGGCCAATACGGAGACGTTGATGCATGCTTTTATCACCAGTAGGATAGATTACTGCAATGCCCTGCTTTCTGGTCTTCCCAAAAAGAGCATCTCAGGCTTACAAATTTTACAAAATTCGGCAGCACGTGTCCTGATGAAGACCAGGAGGCGGGAGCACATGACACCAGTTTTAGAATCATTGCATTGGCTCCCCGTATGTTTCAGGATCAATTTTAAGGTTCTTCTAATGGTTTTTAAGTGTCTTAACGGTCTTGGGCCTTCTTATCTATCAGAACTGCTTTTACAATATGAACCCTCGCGGACTCTGCGCTCCTCTGGCAGGCGTCTCCTGGTCATCCCTAAAGTCAGGACACAAACTCACGGCGAGGCGTCCTTCCAGTGTTATGGCCCTCGCCTCTGGAACGAGCTGCCGGAGGACCTCAGGGCCGCAGAGAACGTTCATGTTTTTAAGTCAAGACTCAAGACCCATCTTTTTAGGTTAGCTTTTATCTAAATATTTACTACAGTTTTATTTCTCGTTTTACATGATTATATTTTATTACTTGCTTTGTTCTATATGATTATATTTTAGCACAGTTTTATTATTTAAATTATTATTTTACTGTCTATGATTTTATTTATTACTTATTTTCTAATTGTTGTCATTTATATTAGCTCTTTTATTACATTTTTACTCATTTTAATCCAGTGTTTCCTCTGTGGGGGCCCTCTGCCCCGGGAGCGGTGGTCGACTGTAGCTTCCTGGGCGCTCTACAGGTGGGGGTCTATGCTCCCCCTCCACTGAGCGCCCTGACTTAGTGTGGAAGACCTGATGCTGCCGGGACAGACGGCTCCTCTGATGGCGTTTCCTTGCGTTACCATACTTGGCTCATCTGGACTCAGCCTAATATAATTTTTACTCGTGTGTGTGTGTGTGAGTCTGTGTGTGTGTGCGTGTGATTGCATATGTTTGTTAATGTTTTTAACCTGTTATGGGAATCTGGGGTCATTTTGTAAAGCACTTTGAATAACACTTTGTTTGAAAAGCGCTTTAGAAATAAAATTTGATTGATTGATTGATTGAAGTGCTGCGCAACTTCTGCTGATTTCTTAGTTTGCACGCTTGCCTCCTATTGCTATATCTACCTGTGATTGAAATTCCCAGAACTTGTTTTTTTATGTTTAATAGGTGTAGAAACAGTATTTGATCAGTTATGGTCTGAAGATAAAAGCAAACGTCAGCACAATTTTCCTGGCATTATGGAGATGCTGCACGATTTGTGGACTTTACCTCACCACAAAGTCCACGACAATACAAAGTCTGTGAGATGCTCCGTGGAGATCGTAACAAATCCCCATGCAGAGGCCAAGAATGATCTTTGGTAGTGCACATGACAAACCAGTCACTGTATCTTTCTCCGAATGACAACTTGTGGTCGGTTGACACTTCCTAGTCTTTATGCAAATCAGCACCTACACAGTCAGCTGTAGTGGGCAACAATCACAGCCTCGCTGAAAGGTCTTCTGTGTTTTCTGCAGCATCTCAACGCCGTGTATCAATTCTGGCATCAGGATTCTCCTCATTTCATTTTCTGTGGGGCACAATCTCAGTAGGATTTATTCTAGAGGAAAAACTGATTGACATCCCAACATTCAACCTAATCAGGTAGAAAACAGAAGATTAGATCACTTTTTTAATAGAATTTATCTCAAAGGAATCAAAACCTGAATCCGTCTCACTCAACAAGCTTTATGAGTTCTCACAACCCTGATTCCTATTTTTGATATCAGCAGTTTAGTTAGTACAAATGAAGAACGCAAGCCTGTCACCTCCAGCAAGAAGGGTCTAAAATAGTTCTCCAGCGGGCTTGTTTACTTCAGCACGATCTACAAAAGAAGACACGCTTTTAACTGTGCTGCTGTCGGCTAAAAATGCTCGTCTTGTTGCTAGGTAACAAACAAAACAGCCAAATATGGCCAAAACAATATAAAAACAAAAGCTAATTTGTCTCAAAGAGCTGAACTTGACATGTTATACAACTTCCTCACTATGCTGTTTGAACGTGAGTTGGTACAGTAAAGTGACGCCTTTTTTTTAACTCTGGGTGTAATTTGGTGACGGTTGTCTCTACACGCTGAAATAAGGCTTCCAAAAGCATCAGCATGTTGCAATCACTGAATGCTTTGTGATGCTTTTATTCTCTGCCACTGCAGCCAGACAGACTAGATCGCTATCATAAGAAGCCATCTTCCACGTGCTTACAGGTCATTCGTTAATGTGCGTTAGGCAGTCAAAATACGTCTGTGGCTCTTTTGTGATTTGCAGACGGAAACTCTTTGAGATCTGCTTCATCTATAGAAATGTTTACGCCATGTTTGTCAATAACAAAGCGATCTCCGCTATTGAGGCAGGTTCCCTGTGTGTGTTGGATGTCAGAGCTCATGAACTGATTGAATGAAATTGATGAAATGATTAGTTTATATTTTCGTTGTTGATGCTCGTTATCACAGCACTTCCTCTTCAAGAAAACGCACTAATCAGCTTCTCTGTGTTAACGTTTCTAATCGTTTAGTTTTTTATCAATAATGTCACAACTTCATTATAAAATAGTCGCCCTGAAAGGAGTTCTGGATCTGTTTGAGCTCCTATACCTTTACACCAGATTAAACACCTGATTGTTTGTGATCAGCAAGGCCAAACGCTGAGAAGAAAACACAGGAATTCATAAAATAAGGTTGCAGAATAAAAGCTGCATGGGTGTGCAGCAGGTGTTTTGTAATCGTTTTGATACCTGGTCACACACCCTGACACGTGTTGTTCATGGAAAGCTCTCTACAACTGACATCCATTTAAAAAGTCGAGTGAATGTTTGTTTGCAGCTATCATGCTCTCTCCCCTAGTCACATAAAGTGTTCTTCAACTCTAGAAAAACTGACCCCCAGGAAAAGAGAACATAGAAGCTCGCAAATCTTAAAGGAGATACATAATGCAAAACTCGCCTTTTGCACCTCAAAATCCATCCATCCATTTGTTGTTGTTGTTGTTTTGTTTTTAAGGAATTATGATTAAAACAAGCAGTTTCAAAAAGTCCTTGTTTGTGATGTCACAAACGGGGAAACTAGCATTAAACCACCTCTTACGTACAAAGAGAGCAACTGCTCTACTCTGAGCCCCTCCCATGTATGGGAGCTACTCAACTTATAGAGCTCCGGGAGTTGACGTCACTTCTCCCGGCATGCAACAGTTCAAATCGAAACGGCGCCAAATTGGCATGCAGAAGCCGGCAGCTGGACTATTTGTTATTGTCAGGAAACTCAATCAAACGGGAAATATGGTAGATTCCTGTTGTGCCCCAGGATGCAGAACAGACGCGGACGACATAAGGAATGAGCCATCTACAGGATTCCCCAAGATCCGGAGCGCCGCAAACATTGGATCATTGTAATAAAACGCGCTAGTGACCGGGCGAAAATGAAGCTGTGGGATCCCGAGAGTAAAGGTTTTCGCTTATGCAGCGACCACTTCATATCAGGTACTTAAACCAACGTTTCCTCAACTGTGTCTGGTATTTATTTCAAATGCTTTTATTACGATTCTTAGTGGGCTTCCTAAACTTATTTTGGCGTGGCTTTTTCTGTCTTATTACTCATAGCAGCAAGTAAACATCACGTAAAACGTTGCCTCGTGAGTTCTGCGTGCTGCCGTTTCCGTGTTTTATGATCACAGCAATTAACCGGCTAAGCTGTATTTAATTTTTAAGCAATGGTTGATCAATTGTCAGATCACACATAAAAAGCACTTTGGATTGCTATTATCTGTCTCACCGAGACTACTTACGTGTAAATCTGTTATTTGTCCGTCCATCCATCCATTTTCATCCGCGTATCCGGAGTCGGGTTGCGGGGGCAGTAGCGTGACTTCCCTCTCCCCAGCCACCGGAGCCAGCTCCTCCGGGTAAATCCCAAGGGGTTCCCCGGTCAGGTCCGGTGTTGTGCCGGTAAGAAGCCCGCTCCGACAGCTTCTGGCGTCGGAGCGGGCAGTAGAGTCGAGAGTCCCAGACCTCTCCCCAGCTCCTCCGGCCGGGGGAATCCCAAGGGGTTCCCCGGTCAGGTCCGGTGTTGTGCCGGTAAGAAGCCCGCTCCGACAGCTTCTGGCGTTTTTAAAAAGTATCCCAGGGGCACGGTAAGGGTCGGAGATGTTTAGTCTATTTAATTTCTGACTATATAAAACGATTTCTTCTGTTTTAAAGTGTGAAGTAAACTCCGACGAAGTAAAATCCAAGCGGATCCCGTTCATGTTCATGGTTACATCCGTGTTTGTTTACCTTTTTTGCATGCCAAAATGGCGTCCACTAACTGAGAGTCACGTGGGGTCCGGAGCTCTATAGCAGCTTGAGTGGGAAATGGGTGGGCGTGGCCATCTCCAGCTTGTTTTCTTAAAGTGACAGAGCCCTGAAATGGCATATTCTGGAAAGTACTGAAACTGTCAAGAACAAATGTGCTGAAATAGCTTTATGTGAGACAGATTTAGTTCAAAGGACATCATGAACATGTTTTATATCGATCATAGAACTATAATAACTTGAGAAATAAGTCATATATCTGCTTCAAACACACAGCAGGTGCAGTCTAATGGATTTAATGCTGAATTTGTTTCTTTAGTATCGGAGGATGTCAGAAATATTAAGCCTGGGTTTCATAACTCTGAAAATGACTCATAAATGGAGATCATAATAGGTCGGTGCCTTTCGTAGTCATACTGTATAGTTTAGACCGAAAATATCACAGATTAACCACACACACACACTCACACACACACACACGGTCAGCTGGGTAGTCAGATGTGTAGCGACTTTGTTGCCTAACTAATTTCCTCAGTGTTTTAATTCTAACCACATTTTTCTGCAGTTTCACAAACTTGCATTTCTAAATCGATCTGCGTTGTAGCTGAACAAGCAAATCACATAAAAATCATTAAAAATGATCACACGTGACAGCTTGTGCAAAAGTCTTCCTCTGTCACATGAAGACTCAAATCGAAGTATGAACAAATGAATCTCACAGGAGCTGTGTTGTAGGGTTAGGGTTAGATAAATCACAGACCTCCATTGTTTCATTTACTATAAAGTCAAATTAAAAATGTTCAGGTTGGATCCTTTAAAGGCTAAATCCCAAAATCCATTTCAGAACATTTTGCTTACAAACTTCGAGGGAAGATGAAACCTGCAGAAAAACGCATAAAAAATGCATCACATATTAGTAGGACTCGCCTTGTGAAAAAAACACGTCTAGTTTACCACATTAAATTTTTGATTTGTGTTGCAGGAAACGCTGCCGCCCCCTCTAGCACGCAGGAGCAAAACGCAATGACGGCAATGGAAGCAAGGACGTTCGGACGACACCTCAGGAATATCGGGGATGACTACAACAGACTCCTGTTACGGGTCAGTGGTCAATTTGTGCTCTATCACACGTTTAAAAAGTGCCTCTAAATAGTTCCTTTTTGGAGGGAACTTCCATCGCACGTGAAGTGGAAGAAAAAAGTCATGAATTTAAATCAACACATTCAGCAGTGGTGGATCTAGGTTTTTTCTGAGTTTGGTTTCATCAAGGGGTGCACAATATTCATAGAATAAATTTCAGAATTCCTAATTGACTCATTGGCGCCTCTAGTGATCAGACTTGGAATTGCATCCAGCTATGATGCGATCATCATGCAAAAGACAAATGAGTGACAGGACAGGTGGCCAATGCTCCTGTGACCCCGCCCATAGAACCGTCAATGCCATTCAGCCAGAAGCTGATAAACGATTATAACTTTAAAGACATTTTTTCAGAAAAAATATCACTCAAAAACCAGCCATTTGGACCAAAATCAAAACAGCGGAAGAGAAATGGTTTCCTCTGCAAAGCATTCAGCTGTTTTTTAACTGTAGGAACAAACAAAAAGCAAAACCTAGCTGTACAAATTGGGTGCTTAAATGTGGTTAAACCCCAAAGAAGTTCAGTGACTGCTTGCATTTTGAAATCACAGCTTATTTGCTCAGCCTGAGCAGCAGCTGTTAAGCAGCTTATTTCTTGGCTGGCGCATAAAGATAGCGATGCTAGTTGTTGGCAGATGCTGCAAGAAAACTCACCTTTGGTTCAGTGTCATCTCACTTTTTTGTGTTTCTTACTTAACAAAACATTATATATTTATATTTTTAACATTCGAATGGCTTTGTTGCTCTAAAGTAACATTTTTGTGAGTTGGTCCAATGACAGATGAGGCATCCAGCTTCTGTCTCTGATTACGACATGATCTAACCATTAGCTTCTCTACTGCTTACTGAAGACATTATCACAGGGCGTATAAAACCTCTTAGTAATGCAGCTGTAAAGTAAGACCTGATTTCCTTTTGGCTTATGCCTCCTTGGCAACATTTCTGCATGTTGCATCATACATTTTATTTACCACCAAAGGTCTGACTGGAGCACAGAAAAAAAGAGCAGAGAGGAAAAGGGAGGAAAGTGTGTGTTTTGCTTTAATCTCTTCAGGAAAGTAGAGTGAAAAATAAAAGTCAGGAAAATGCATGACAGGGTTTTTTTTTAATGAAGAGCTTTCAATGCTGTTTAGTGTCAAAAGATTAACAGCTACAAAGCTGAGTCTGCATCTCAGTAGCCCGACGCATCATAAATGTGCTCCCTCCGTTTTGTTTAATGTTTGAGTGCTAATGAGCAGCAAACATGAGAAAACCCCTTTATGTCTGCTTACTTTCTGCGTTTGTCCCAACCTGAATCACCTTTATTGAGTCAGAAATCCCTTTAATATTTCAAACTACTTTGGGTCAAACACATGGGTGTAATTTTCACTTTAGAGGGGGTGGGGGTGGGGGGGGGTATCTCTACAGTATGTTCTAGTGGGAAACAGGCTTCAACACAGACGGTTGTTTTCTGCTTGGTCCTAGAGCTCAACCAGTGTCAATTTAATATAGCGTACCGGTAATATTGTTTTTGAATGGTAAACAGTGCAGGGGGTCAAAACTTGACTTTGGAAAAAGTGGGGGGGACATGTCCCCCCGTCTCCCTCCAAAATTACGTCCATGGTCAAACAGTTCTGTAGCTCAGAGCTCGTTTGATGGGAATTAAACTCCTGGATTGTTCATCAGCCATGTGGTAGCGCTTTACAAATGAAGCTGTAGGGTTATGTCATTACATTAATGATCATAATGTTTAATATCTCGGTGTAATCACATATTCATTAATATAGTTGCCCCACAAAACAACAACTGGTACAAGTCAATCAGTTTTATTGATGCTGAGCTAAAATTAGATTTGGTTGGTGAGAGTCATCCCTAACATATATGTGCTGACTTTAATGCCATCCTGGTTACGTCTGTTTTATAGAACATGTGGACCATTAAAGACCAGTGCAATGTAAATCCAACATTTCCATTCACTAAGGATGATGTCATTATGTCACAATTTCCCAGCCTGGGGTCAGTAAAGTACATCTATGTTATGGTCAAGAAGCGTTTCTGAATGCAAGATTGGATAAATAAACAAACAAATAAATAAACGAGGATTTTTGATTTTCTCCACATGTCAAAGATTTCCTGAGATTGTACCACTCATTTAAGGCAAGTGTGCATTTCCACCAAAACATTGTTTTTCCTCACACAAAGGCTGGATGAATACATCCAATATCTGGTGTGTGTTAACTTCTGGGTTAGTGTTCTTTGACCTTGAATGTAGAATTATCCAGTGTGTGTGTGTGTGTGTGTGTGTGTGTGTGTGTGTGTGTGTGTGTGTGTGTGTGTGTGTGTGTGTGTGTGTGTGTGTGTGTGTGTGCGCGCGCGTGCGTGTGTGTTTCTGTGAAACAATGAAAAGAGGAACGTGGAGACTTGTTCCTTCTTTTTTGGCCAGGTGTCAGAATGACATGTACTTGTGCTCAGCTATACATAATTGAAACACACACACACACACACACACACACACACACACACACACACACACACACACACACACACACACACACACACACACACACACACACACACACACACACACACACCTAGCTGCAAGATACTTTTTAGATGTTCTGATTTAGTCTTAAGCAGAAGAACATGTATTTATTTCATGCTAAAGCATTCATCAAAACATTGAGTTTGTCATTCTTCTAAAATATAAAGATATTTGACTAAACTTATTATCTGTTGCAAAAACATTTGAGATCTTGATTCTTCTCCTAAAAAGCAAAATGATACCAAAACATCTAGACCAACAGTTTTGTTAGATTGTGTTGAGAAGTGAGAACTTGTATTTATTGCCGTAACTGGCAACCAAGCTGATATTTATGATGTGTATCCACAAAGTCACCCCAACATCAAAACATAATCTTGTGTTCTCAGGCCCATGTGATAACTGTGAATCATGAGTTTTCACGGTTCTAAAATGTTGGAAGAGTTGTTAACGCTGTACTAATCTTCATAGTTCTAAGAAAAGGAAGAGCCAGTTACTGAAGGTAAGAAAAAATGGGCTAAACTCATCAGCCAGAAACCACCAAAATAAATGAATCATTTCTGATAAAATAATAGATCAAATGGAAAAATGTAATCGAAGCTTATTAAAACCCTTTTCCCGAAAAGCTGATATAAAACTTTTCATGGAAATTTCATGTGTTCTGCATTTGTAGTTTTCAGTTTTAATTGACATATCTCCACCAAATGTGGTATTTAACACAACAAGCTGCATTAACAATTCTTTTATTATTTTAAAGTTAAAACTGACCAGTAAATATGCATCTTTAAGTCTACAGAAAGGAATCAAAACCTTTGGCATGAGTCAGTGCTAATTCGTGCTGACCACCACCCCCCCCCCCCCCCACCCCCCCGTTAGAGGAAAACAAGCTAGCGCTAATCACCAGTCACCTCTGGGTCACGTCGATCTGATATTGGACTCAGCTTTTCCAGAGGAAACAAGCTAGTGCTAAACGCCAGTCACCGTTTTCTGAGTCCAAACATCCTTTCCGTGACTTCTAATTAGGGATGTCCGATATTATCAATTAATGTTTTGCCTAAAGGCGTCACAGAGCGTTAGTCAGGATTATCCCAGGGAGAATATCATTTAGCTGCTGTTGGAGACAAATTAAACACATTTTTTTCTATTACTTAATTACAAATTTGCACGGATAATGTTTAAAGCTTAAGCATTCTTGATGGGAGACATGAAAATGTTGACAACTTAAAGGATTTACTTATATTTTTTTTTATTAGGGAGACCCCACATATATCGGTATCAGAAATTCAGAGTTAGACGATATCGGATATCGGCAAAAAAGCCAACATCAAGCATCCCCTACTTCAAACGGTGTTTTTTCAAGTGGTAGCAGCTGGCCGTTTCTCCTTTTATTATTATTGAGCCTTGAACCTCTCACACCATTGGTGTTATGTTGCTAAATGCACAATCGCGTAATGACTGGAGGACCCTGGTAAAGTGGAAGTGTGGTGGTTCTGTCAGACAGACAACTGGATGGTCCAATAATTGGTTTCAGACAGAGCTATGTTATTAGGGAAAGGTTTTAGACAAATGCAAAAGAACCACTTTATGGAATTTCAAAATCAAAGTTTTTTTTTTTTAATATTTATAGCTATACAATGTTAGAACATTGGTTGTTTATCAGATTTCCCATTGTAGCTTTAAGACTGTCGGAGGGAGAGGAGCTGATTAATATTCTCGATAGCCATCTTGCCATGTGGCCTTAATCAGATCTGAGCTCTCAATTGAAGCAACTCAAAAATGTGTAAACCTTGTGCTGAATGTTTTTATTGTAAACCTTTAAACCTACGGTGAATATTTACATAGACGTCTAAGGTTACAGTGCCCATGTCATCTCCAGCTTGTTGCAACACGTCTCGTGTGAAACAAACCTGGCTTAGCACACCCAGTTTCAACTATGTGATGCAAACGTGATGCAGGTCAAAACACCACAGCACATGAAATGTAAGATGATGGAAATAGACTAAAATTGCTCTTGAACTACTTTTTTGTGAATATTTGCTTGATCCTTTCATGAAAACGTCCCCCTTATTGTTCAAACTGACACTGATGTGACTGCTGTCTACGGCAGGTGGGGCAGAGACTATTCTGAAGCACTCAGAAATGTTGAATACATTTCTGTACTTTACAAAAAAGGGAAATGAAATAAATAAAAATGTGTTTCACTAAATAACCACACAAACATAATGACATTGTTTCATGACAAATGGGTTTTATTGATACTATTTAATAAGTGAACATGCGGTATCAGGCTGCAGAAAGGCTCACTGGCAGATCTCAGCCACGTTTCGGTGTCTCTGCTCTGTTGACAGAAGAGTTCAAGTTCAATGCCTGGAAGCTAAAAAATACACAAGGCTGAGTTGCAACAGTTACTTCAGGCTGTAGAAGTGACTCAGTGTCTGTCAAT